AACGTAGGAGAGAAATGGAAGAATTACAACAAAAGCAATTACAAGTAATTTAAAAAAAAAAAATTTAACCTTTCATTCATCAGCATTAAAAAATTATTTATTTATTTAATTTTGTTTGTTTAAAGGAACCATTTTATTTTCATTCATCATCTTCCGTTGGTGGCGGGGGTGGTGGTGGTGGTGGTGGGAGTTTGACAAAAGGCCAACAAATAAATCCAAATTCGATTTTTACAGACAACAAAGACATGTTAATCGATGAAGATTGGAATTTCAAAAGCACCGGAAGTATATTAGCACCTTTGACCTTATGTTTGTTAATAATGGTGACGTACATAATACTCGGGTCTATTTTGTTTGTTAAATTAGAATCGTGGCCGTTCACGGATTGTTGTTTTTTCTGTTTCATGAGTTTAAGTACAATTAATTTAACGGATTTAATTATATTAAAAAAAAATATTAAAAATACAACTGTGTGGTTGTGTTCCATATACATATTAACTGGATTAGCCTTAACCGCAATGTGTTTCAACATACTACACGAAGAGCTTTTGAAAAGGCTCAAACGACAACTCATGAGCGGTTTATACACTCCACCGGATTCAGAATATGATAATAATAATAAAAATAAAAAAAAATTAAAGAAAAAAAGAAAAATGTATGTTCAGGCGGAAGATGTCGTCGTACCCGGACCGGATTTATATACATCATCATCATCATCATGACACAAGGAAATGGAAAGTGATAAAAAAGTTACATTGGCTTGCGAAATCGTTGCCATAACACATAAAAATAATATAGACGTTGTTAAAACCGTTGATATCGATCATCAAATACAAAGTAATAGCACTTTTAAAAATCCTGATTGCGTTGTCGGTTCCGTATTTACTTTGTCCTGTAATAACGAAATCACATCATCACAATAATAATAATAATAATAATAAATTTATATATAAATGTGCGTGGGTGTGAGAGAGAGAGAGAGAGAGAAAGAATAATATTTGTATTCTTTCTGTTTATTAACTCCAATTTATAAAACATAAGGATAAATGAATGGATTAAAATTAAAATTAAATGAAATAAATTAAATATTATTATTATTATTATTACAACCCAGTTCTTCCTAATTATGTTTGTATAAATAATAATTTCGGACCAATCAATCGTATACATAATTATCCCGATAATAAATTTTTTTAATTTCGAATCGTTAATTATTATTATGTATGTGCGTGGGTGTGTGTGTGTTGGAAAAGATTTTTTTGAAATTGTTTATTTTATTTTATTTTTTTTTTTTTTTAATAAATGATCGATGAGAAAAATATATTATCGACCGTCCGTTTTATTTAATAAAATCATGGAGTAATAATAATAATAATAATAATAATAATAATAATAATAATAATAAAATGATATAAAAATGGTTTTTTGGGTTTTTCTCTTGGATTAATTTTTAAATTAAAATTTATTTATTAAATAATTTAATATTTAAATAATAATATTAGTATTGATTTCACTATATTGCTCATCAGAAATAAAAATCAAATTAATAATAATAATAATAATAATAATATATTTTTCAGTTTAAATTAAATGATTTTTTGTTTTTTGGGGGAGGGACGGGGAGGAGATGGGAGGGGTTCTATATATATATATATGTATTAACTTTTATAAATATATATAAATCTCTTTGTTAAAACTTTAAATTTTAATAAAAATAATAATAATAATAATAATAATAATAATAATAATAAAAGAAAAGTTTATAATACGTTTACATAGAAAAGTTAATTAATAATTAAATTTTTAAATAGTTTTTTTTTTGTCTTTAAAAAATGACCCAAGAGTAGTGGTATTTTTATAAAAAAAAAAAAAAAAACTTTTTATAAGATTATATATGTTAAGCTCTTAATTATGTAAATATAATTTTTTAATTATCTTTTGAAAATTTTTTTTTTTACCATTTACCTTTTTTTTTTTTTTAATGTAATGAATTAATTTTATTAATATTTGTTTATAAAATAAATTTCCATACAATTTAAATATACGTTTTTTTTAATGGTTTTTCACATTTTAAAATAAATGTCGGATTCGTATAGAGTTTTTTTTATATGATTATAATTATTTTTGAGTCATTAAAAGGTTTTCAAAATATTTTATAATTACACACGAGTTAAAAAAAAAATTAATTAACTTAGTCATTTTAATTTTTCAAAAATCTCATTTAAAGACGGTTAAATTGCTACTTAAAGTCGTGGTTTTAGAGAGAAAAAAAAAATTTTGCTTGTAAAAAAAAGAGGAAAATTTGTTTCAAAACTTTTATGTCGCTAAAAATTATTTTCAAATGTTAAATTACCACTACTACTTTTTAAAATGGCGTCCAATACACATGTGGATAGTCGCGTTCAAGAGCGTCGTTTACGACCGATTTACGGTAAAAGTACCAATATATCAATAATATTTTTTTAATAATTTTATTTATTAATTATTAATAAATGTCTGAATTAATTTTTTTTATGACTCATTATTTAATTTTTGCTTTTTATTACCGAATTCCTAGCCTAAGTTGAATGCGAAATTATTTGTTTTTTATTTATATATTTCCTTGTGAAAAAAAAATCATGAATATAATTTATTTTAAATTCTAATTTATTGATATATTGTAATGAAAACTTATTTTTTATTTGCATTTCGCAACGAAAAATAAATTTTAAATGTACTTTTTCATGAATTTTAATAAATACTTCCATTTCAATCTTATGTATTATTGAATAGAAAAATTATTTTTTTTTTTTTTTTTTTTTTACAGATTGGCTTGATTCTGGCAATAATAAAAAAGCTTTGCAAGAAGCTGATAAAGTATTAAAAAAACAACCTAATTTTCTTTGTGCAAAAGTCTTGAAAGCATTAGCTCTTCAAAGACTTGGCAAAGAAGCCGAATGTGAAGAAATATTAGATGGAGTTTGCAGTCAAGTTCCTACAGATGAAGCCACTCTTCAAGCCATTACAATTTGTTACAGAGGAGTTCATAAACGTATGAAAATTTTTATATACTTATTATTATTCAATTATTAAATGTTTATATACTTATTATTATTCAATTATTAAATGTTTAAAGACTGAAATCAAAATTGATTTAAATTTTTTATTTTTAGCGAATAAAATATGTGATGTGTATTTGGCCGCATCGAAAAAAGATCCTAACAATGAAGAATTATTGACTCATTTGTTTATGAGTTATGTTAGGATAGGGAATTATAGAAAACAACATCAACATGCTATGAGTTTGTACAAACTCAGACCCAAAAATCCTTATTATTTTTGGGCAGTTATGAGTGTAGTAATGCAGGTTTGTATGTTTCCTTAATTGTTGTTTTAAAAGCATTATGTGGTATTTTAACAATTATGTTTTTTAGGCAAAAGGAGATGAAAACATGGAAAAAACTGTAGCGTTAAAGTTGGCTGAAAAAATGGTATCGAAATTTGTTACAGAGGGAAAAATCGAAGCTGAACAAGAAGTGCAGTTATATCTTATGATTTTAGAAATGCAAGTAAGATGACTTTCAAAATTAAGTGAATTAATCATGAAGTATTATTACTCACAGTCATATTTTCATTTACCACATGAAATTTTTTTTATTAATTGTTAGGGTAAATACGAAGAAGCTTTAGATGTTATCGAAGGCGAATTAGGCGAAAAACTCAAGTCTCTCATTACGACTGCCATCAAAAGAATAGAATTATTAATCAAATTAGAAAGATGGAAGGAAGCTAATGTTTTATTAAAATGTCAATTGGAAAAGAAGTATGATGAATGCATTTTTATTAAAAAAATTTTTCTTTACTACTTCAAAATTTATCATAATTTATTTTTTAACAGTTCTGATAGTTGGTCCGATTATAAAAACTATCTTAAAACATCATTGAAATTATACAGCGAGTATCAAAAAACAAAAAATGATATATTAGAATCGAATAATACATTTGAAAATCGTGTGCCAATTAGAATTCCCATAACTAATAATGGTAAAGAATATATATTGTGGTACGATGCTGACTACACTCCACAAATGGTTTTAACTTTTTTCAATCAACTTATTAAAAGTAGCGAAGAAAATAAAAAAAAATTAAGGGGGCCATATTTAGCTCAACTTGAACTTTACAAAAGGCTAGAAGAAGAATCATATGATGCAGAAGCTATTGTAGGTACGGACAAAATTTCGACAAAAAAATAATATCAACTTAGGATTTTCATTTTTAATTTTATGTAGCTTCGGTTAAATAATTTTTTTTTTTTTTTTTTTTAGGAAACATAACGGATTTATTTGTAAATTATTTTGAAAGATTCGGAGAGAAGCAAATATGTGTTTCGGATTTAAAACCGTATCTATCTCTTTTAAAAGACAAATCAAAATTAATTTTTAGAAACAAAATAAATGAAATTGTAGGACTCGAAGATGGTGAACCTGCGCCTACGGTACCTTTTCTCTCTCTCTCTCTCTTTCTCTCTCTACGCCAAAGAAAAAAAAAAATAATAATAATGGACGTGTTTGTTTTTTTTTTTTTGTTTTTAACAGATTTCTATTTTACAAAAGCACATATCATATTTACAAATATGTAGATTATTAGGATTACATAGTCAATATTCAACGGGTGAAAAATTACAATTTTGTAATTCATTAATTAGTCATTACGAATCGAGTCAAAAATTAGTCAGTCCGGATAAATTGCCTACCGAATTCTCGTGAGTTTTTCCCTTTACGTTATTGATTTTGTATCAGAATGATGATGATGATGATGATAATAATTTTTTTTTTTTTTTTCTATCCCAAGGTGTAACGATCCTTATATTGTGTTGCTCAGTCACGTGTTATTTTCTATTTACCAAGAAACAAGGAGTAGAACTCATATAATTCGAGCTATTTATTATTTAGAAAAAGCATTAGCCAAAAGTCCGTCAAATTTTCATTTTAAACTTCTCCTTGTTAAATTTTACGTTTTATTAGGCGAGTGAATCTAAATATTACATCACTTGATTTTTTTTTTTAAATCGAAAGAAACATTTGTAAAGTAATTTATTATTTAAACAGGTGCTGGTTCACAAGGTTTTCACTTTTACGAACATTTGGAAGCAAAATACATACAATTAGATTCAATGGGTTATTTGTTTTCAACGTCCATATACGGCCTGGGAAATTTTTCAGGGACCGTCGCATTATACGACACGACACTCAAATTTTTTTTGAACAACACCACCGACGTATGGGAATTTTATTTCACTAAATTATTATTTTCAATTTTTTCTATTATTTACTGGGTCGTGTAATGTACACGTGTGCACGTGAGAAAATGTTTTTTCTTGTTTTTCTTTTTGTAGAGTGTCGATCATTTGACGTACGCTTACAAATACGGATCATTCATGAAAATTCAAGAATTCATTGAATTTCGCGACAGGCTAAACGATTCGCTTCATTTTACTTTTTGCACGATAGAAAAAATGTTACACGATTTACTATGGACGCAAGATTATTCGCAGTCGAAAATGACGATAAAAAGTATGGAAGTCAAACCTGGAGTGCAAAAAATATCCTGGTCGAAACTTCAAGACAATCGGGATTTAAACGTGATCGCGTCGTTCGAACCACCCGAAAAACAACTCAACGAAAAAACAATTGGAAAAAGTTTTGAAAATTTAAAAAATTACGTTAGGCTACGGGATTCGATATTGAAATCCCTGTGTGCTGTTTTTGATTTCGTCAACGACGGCCAATCGGAACAAAAAAATAACCAACTTTTACAAAATGGAGATTCAATTTCTTTTAAGGACGTATTAATAAAATCGGTCGATGAAATGAATTGTATATATAACGAACTCAAATCTCAGGATTTAGATTTGGGCGTACAGGTATGGCGAATCCTTATTTCATTCGTGGAGATTTGAAAGATTTGTCGGATTAAATAAATGATTTATTTCAGGATGTTATAAATTCTCCACCGCCGTGTAGATTAAAAAGTTTCTTAGAGTTGCCGATAGGCGGAGTGATAAGCGAAATGGTAGAAATATTACTTTTAATTGAATCGAGTAAAACGGATGAGAATAAAATAATAAATCATTCGAAATCCGTGTCGGACGTACTCAAAACTTCGGCAAAATCTTGCTTGGAAAATTTAAATCCGAATTTATATCAGTTAAGAGACGTTTTAGAAAAATTGGTCGGTGCCGTTGAAATGTTTGCAATAACAATTATTCTATGCGGAAATTTGAAATCGTGCATCAAAAGCGCAAAGAAAAATTTGAAAAAGGGAAAAAAGAAAAAAGAAGACGAAGAGAATAACGATTATTCAATATATAAAAATATACTTAAAGACTTGTCGGAAACAATAACGGAAGTAGATGAAGCTTTAAATAATTTTAATAAAGAAATAACAGAGAAATTAACTGCTAGTGAGGTAAATTTATTTATTTATTTTCACGAATAAATTGCATTTTCTCTTTACTAAGTTTTTCTAATTTTTTTTTGTTTTTTTAGATGGAAGCTTTAAATTTAAACGAGTCAAATAATATAATTGAAAGTATAGAAAAAAAATTATTTAAAAGCTGTAGTGAATCTGTTCAAGAAATAAGACATTTTTTACAAGAAAAACAATTTTACATAAACTCAATAAAAAATTAGTTAACTTAAATTTGTATTAAATTTTTCCACAATAAATCAAAAATTGTTTTATTGTTGCAAATTTCATCATTCCCTGTTTTTTTTATATTATTTATTCATAAAAAAAGAAAAAACTATTAGAAAGAAATAAATAAAAAATGCAATAATATTTTTTTTAGAAAAGAAGTAAATTTTCGGTTAAAATTGGTAGCAGAAAATTTTATCCGCCATTTTTTTTTTTAAAGTTGATTTGCCGCCTTTCGTCATTGTTGTTGATTTTAGAAAAGTAAACAGCCATATTTGATTTTGTTGTTGTGCGGAGAATTAATACGTTTTTTTTTTTTTTTTTCTCTCTCTCTCTCTCTCTGTCTAGTCTTCAAGAAAATACCATTTAATCGGTTTTAAAAAGGAAAAAATATAATATCAATTAAAATGGATAATATGCGATACATGTGTTTTTGCAGGTCATTTTTTTCAAATGTCGATACATTTATATCTCATGTTACATGTTGTCCCCAAATAAAAAATTCAAATACTTTAAATGCTCAATCAGAGAAAATGATTATTGATAAACTTTCAGAATATTCAAAAATAAACGAAGATTTAAAATCGGATTTTAAATTAAAATTAATGAAATCTTGGGCGATAGTTGTAGATGAGGATGAGAGTACCATAAAATCCGATAATACGACACCTAAATTATGGGGAAGACGTTTACCCAAAAGAACTAAAGTACCTTATTTAAGTCGTGCCGTACCTTTATCTACCGATCATTCATACGAAAGATGTCAATGTGGTGCCGTTTTTGTTACGCGAATGGGTAAACGACAACATCAGGCAAGGTTTTGTGAATTTGTTAAAAATAAAACTAAAAAATTACCAAC